AGAATGTCATCCAAAACGAGGCTAATACTTGATACACAAAATAGGGGTATTCATTCATGCTTAACAAATACTTTTTCCAAAACTTTCAAGATATACTAGGCATACAAGACTTATACTTGGCACACAAAGCATGGATAATCATTCATGCTTGATTAAATACTTTTCAAAACAAGGCAAAGCAAGGCTTATCAAAACATTATAACATAGCTTTATTAAAAATACCACTCACATAGTTCTTCGGGTGTAGGAATTAAAAGCAAGGATCCAAGGCCTACAAGCACATAATAAATCCCATTGAATGCGTTTCAATAAGTCAAGGTGAGATGCTCAAAGATGGATATGAAATGCATCCTCAAAACAAGCCTTACATGAGTTTTAAATGATCTCGGCATTCTTTCGAAACTAGTCAAAACAAAGCAAAACATTGTTTCTTGTCTCGGGAAAACATGTTGGGTACCAATCAGGTCTAGGCTGAGGTCCCACACCCCTTGGCCGAGGTGTGTTCCCGACGACCACATTCAAGGAATGATGTCTGGGAAAATCTGGGTTTCCCTCTTGAAGAACATGACGAACAAGAACATGAAATGCTAAAATCATAACTTCTTCATTCAAAATTTGAGTTTTCATGAGATGAGTTTGAAAACATGGACCTGGGTACCCATACTTGAAGATTTCATGGAAACAAACACAAAAACATGAATCTTGATGCAAGCTTTCGGATCAAACAAGGCTTTAATTCAAGAACACATGAATATCACTTTCTCTTTCTAAAACCAAACTTTAAATCAATGCATGGCTTACAAATCGTGCTCGATCATGCAATGCAGCTAGATGAACAATAAGAACAACAAGAGTAGATCAAGATTCTAACCTCAAGACACGAATCTAACGGCTCAAGGTGTGAAGATCAAGCTTGGAAATCTATTCCCTCTCTGAGAACTCCTCCTTCTTCCTAGAGCCTCTCTCTCTAAAAGACAAGGATATGATACAAAATGATGTGTTTCTCAACAACTCACTGACTTAACCTTCTGCTGGGACACGTGGCATCGGCTGGTTGGCTCTTCTAAAAAAGGTGACTGAGTGAAAAGACAAGACTATGATAAAGTGTGTTCAACAAGCAAGATGGCATAGGCACTCCGGCAGGTAATGATCTCGGCTAGGGACAAAGCTTCGGCAAGAGGGGTCCCAATGATCTCGGCCGGGATGGATAACGCATGGTCCAAATGTGCCACACCCTGGCCTAGATGTGCCACATCTCGGCCTAGGTTATACCGGTCCAGAACAAGACCATTAGGTGCAAGGATCAAGGATGTCTAGCTGGGAACATCTCAGCTTAGATGATTCATATCTCGGCCTCGGTGGCGTACACCTCGGCCTAGATGATGACATCTCGGCCAATATGTCAGAGTGGAGGTGGAGGTCAAACAAAGTGGTTCCAAGATAGTACTAAGTGTAAGAGGTTCAAAGGTGTGACCTAGGCTTGATAAGACCTCGGATACACATCGAGCAAGAAACGGAACACACAAACAATACGCAAGCCAAATTATATTAGCACAAAACAAGACAGAAACCTTACTTAAGGAAAAACAAGTTGAAAACTACAAATGCAAGCTTAACAAAACAAAATGTGCAAATGCACATGAACATGACAAAGATGGGGATGAGGGTCACTACATTTAAAATTATGAGAATTTAAGAATAAATATTTGAAGGTTTTTGACAAAAACAACTACATTTGATTATTCTAGGTTATACCGGTCCAGAACAAGACCATTAGGTGCAAGGATCAAGGATGTCTAGCTGGGAACATCTCAGCTTAGATGATTCATATCTCGGCCTCGGTGGCGTACACCTCGGCCTAGATGATGACATCTCGGCCAATATGTCAGAGTGGAGGTGGAGGTCAAACAAAGTGGTTCCAAGATAGTACTAAGTGTAAGAGGTTCAAAGGTGTGACCTAGGCTTAATAAGACCTCGGATACACATCGAGCAAGAAACGGAACACACAAACAATACGCAAGCCAAATTATATAAGCACAAAACAAGACGGAAACCTTACTTAAGGCAAAACAAGTTGAAAACTACAAATGCAAGCTTAACAAAACAAAATGTGCAAATGCACATGAACATGACAAATATGGGGATGAGGGTCACTACATTTAAAATTATGAGAATTTAAGAATAAATATTTGAAGGTTTTTGACAACTACATTTGATTATTAATACTTTTCTCATTCAGGGCCAACCAATTTCATTATTAATTCTCTTCTTATTCAAAGCCAATAAATTTTTTATTTTTTTATTTTCTTCATCACTTGGTAGATAATATTGAATAATAAAAATTATCAAGAGAATGTTAAGAATTTAAGAGGAGATAAGAAGTCATAGATAAGGGCATTTCATAGGATAATTTTTTTTTAAAAAAAAGAAAAGATGATATGTGATAGAAGGAGAAAAAATATATGAATAAATCAAAATAAAGATTTAGATATATATGTTTTTGATAGATATATAGATTAACAAATCAAATCTTTGTCTCAATTTTATTATCTTAATTTTTTTGTAAATCAATTATTTAATCTTTATCTTTATCTGTAGACTAGGAAATTAATCTTTATAAATTATTTATCAATTTTTATATGTTTATTTATCTATAAGTCATGAAATTAATTTTTTAATTTTCATTTTAATTAATTAAACAAATAGAAAATGAAAAAAAAATAGAAAACATGAAAGGCAATCAAAGAACGTTGCCACGTAGGAAAGAGAAAGTTTTAAAATTATAAGAATTTAAGAATAAATATTTGGAGGCTTTTAACAAAACAACTATATTTGGTAATATATATATAGTATAGATAGATAGATATAGATAGATTCCACCTCATGGAATTTTGAAATATAACTTTAGGTTGTTTTAGAAAGTAGGATAGAAGTTAGTTTTTTTTTTTTTTTTTTTAAATAAGCCAACAACAATGATTCATCCCCCCTTTTTTCCCCACCCCCTTTGACCCCCTCTCTCTCTTATTGGTTACATTTTCTTTTTCTTTTTCTTTTTTTTCCTGCTCCTCCAATCACCACCTGCCACGTGGCAAAGGGGGGTGAGGGGGTGACCCCCAAAAGGAGGTCCCAAGCATTATTCCTAAAAATATTTAGCACTTTATTCTATTTTTTTTTCTTCAATATGCTAATCATTTGCAATTCGCTCCCTGTCTCTACCCCTCTTTCCTTCTTCTCTCCAATTTATATGTCTAAATTTGAATGAGTTTGACTAATAATTAATTATCCTATATTAATGATTCTTTTTGGCATGTATTTTCAGAAGACCATGAAAATATATATTACACATGTTTTTTTTATTTATTATTTTAAAATTTCATTTTACATGTGCCATGTAAAATTTTCTTTTTAATTAATAAATGTGTCATAAATATTTTGACGTCATATGTATTTTTTAGTTTTCAAATATTAAAACGAAAAATTTTGAAGTGAATATTTTAAAGCTTGAAATTAGGGAAAATTATCAAAAAGTCCTATTTCAGATTCTTTTATACCAATCAGTCCATGTTTTTTTATTTTTATTTTTTTAAATCCTAAAGTTTACACTTTTAGACCTGGAGGTCCTGTTTTCAGTTTTATTATATTTTTTTGACCATTTTGCCCTTATATATATAGCTGCTTGTTTGAATATGATTTTTGAAAAGTCAGTGATCTACATTTGGATTCCCGATTCTTTGCAATTTCTAATTTCTCTTTGCCATTTTCGATTTTTGATTTGCTAGTTTTTGAAGCTATAGATTGGGAGTGATTTTGCGATTATTGAAGCTCTAGGTTTTGCGTGATTCGCAATTTTTGGTTTCTCTTTGCGATTTTCGATTTGCGATTTTGTCTGGTTTTCAGTCGATATTCTGGAGAATGTTAGTTTTTGTTTGAGATTGCTGTTGTGATTTGTTCTGTTCTTCATTGTTCTTTGTTGTTCTTCTTCGTTTATCATCAATTTTGTTTTTCATTGTTCTTCGTCGTTCTTTATCATTTATCATCAATTGATTACGGTGATGTTTATGTCATGTGATTAGTGATTGATTCGTTGTTGTGATGAAATCATTGTGTTCATGTGAAATTTTGAATGATGAAGTTTTGTTGCAGAAGTGTTTGAACAAACTGTTGTTAAGCATTTAGTGAACTGGAAGTTCATGCTATCAGTATATGAGTTTTATAATTAAAATTATATGTATGTGTGTATACTATGAGCTTAAAATTTGTTGTATGTGGTGTGTATGATGATAAATGTAGGGCTTATGATTGTTTGTTGAGGAGGTAGAGTTTTTTTTGTATGATGTGAATATTTGAACTATTTAAAAATCTTGATACATTTCATTGTGCTAGAAAATCTTCACACATATGAATGTGATTGAATATTCAAATTGTTTTATGTACTATTGATGATTTTGCAGTGTGATACGAGACAAATGGATTTTTTCATGTTATTGTTGTGCTACTATGGGTCAAACATGTTTGTGATAAATGTGGTACAATCATTTTCCTTTGACGAGCTAGTGAAATGTGTGTGCAACAAATGGTGTGATTTGTTTGCTGATTCAACCATTATGTTTTACAGACTGTCGGGGTATAAGAATTGTCATTTGGATAACAATGAGGAATTGCAAAACATGTTATTGTTTGATAAATCAATTGGAGTTGAACAAATTGATGTTGTTGTTGACCAAAAATTGGGCACTAATAGACATAGTAGTTTAGCAAATCCACGCATTGAAGATGAAGATCAAACAAATTTGCTTCATAGATATTGTGCGCACAGTGAGAAGGTTTTGTTGTCTTTAGTTTGGGCAAATGGTATTACGTATGTTGGTTAATGTTTTACAGGAGGAGCATTTGAGTTTCGTACTGTTTTATGCAAATATGCAGTGCAATGTGGGTTTAAATTCAAATATTTGAAGAACGATTCAGAATGAATTACTGCTGTATGCTCACATAAAGATGATATGGGATATTTGTGGTCTGTGCATGATAGAGCCCAAACAGCAAACCAATTTTTCTACCTTAAGAGTTGGACTAAGATACATAGTTGTGGTACTGATGTTCGTACTTCAAAAAATCCAAGGCTCAGCTCTGATTTGGTGTCAAATGTTGTATCTAAGCGTGTTAGGGACAGACCACTAACGCGCCTCACTGATGTGGCATATACTTTCAAGGCAGACTATGGACTTGATATCAGCTACCATGTATCATGGTTAGGTGTTGAGAAAGCGAGAGAGGCTATGCATGGTGATTACTTAACATCGTTTGATTAACTGAGATGGTATGGTGATGCTGTTCAGCATTATAATCTTAGAAGTCATATCAATATTGACTATGATTTGAAGACTAGTTAGTTTAAAAGGTTTTTTGTAGCATTTGTTGCGTGCATAAATGGCTTCAAATATTGTCACCCTTTGCTTTTTCTTGATGGAACATTTCTAAAAGGGAGATACAAAGGGCAATTGCTTGCAGCGACAGTTAAAGACGGTAACCAATGTTTGTTTAGCTTTTTTATGTGAAGTTTTACATTTGTTTACTTTTTGTGTGTGAGTTGTGACTGTTAACATTGGTTTTGTTTTTAGGATTGTTTCCAGTAGCCTTTGCAATTGCGGATTCGGAGAGTGAATCAAATTGGTCATCGTTTCTATATGAACTGTCAAAAGTAATTGCTGATGATAGACACATGACATTTGTATCCGATCGTAATCTAGGGCTTTTGGAAGCAATGCCAAAGGCATTCCCATCAATATATCATGGATGGTATTTAAAACACCTAAAGAATAATTTTAGGAACAAGTTGAAGGGTATGGAGAATGGTTTCAAGGAACACTTAATCCGGAAGTTGGGTGATTGTGCATACGAACCTACTTTGACAGGTTTTCATGCATTACTAGAAAAGTTGAAGAGTGACGGGAAACAACGAGCATATAACTTCTTGTTAGGGTTAGAACCTGAACATTGGGCAAATGCTTACTTTAGGTAAAGTGTATACAATTGTGTGTTTCATGGAATATAATGATGGTTATATGTACATTGTTTATATTTTTGTGTTGTTATAACAATGTGAAATGTCATATATGGTATTAAAATGTGACAATTTTTGCTGTTATGTGTTAGGGGACAACGATATGGTGAGATAACATCCAATGCTGCTGAATCATTCAACAATTGGATTAAAGAAGCACGAAATCTTTCAATAACAAAATTGGTTGATACTGTCCGGAATCAAATAATGTGTCAAATGTTAGAGCGAAAGGATATTGCAAATAAGTGGAATTGCATTATTTGCCCTACCTTTGAGACTAACCTCCAAGATTCATTTAATTCTAGTAGGTCATAGAATGTGAGTAAAGCTAATAATGATATGTTCGAGATGCATTCGTTTCCATTAGTTACAATTGATGTTGGACGCCGTGTTTGTTCTTGCTACCAGTGGCAAGTAAATGGATTTCCTTGTGAACATGCTGTTGCGGCTATCCAAAGGAGTGCATATAATCTTAATGATTGTGTTGAAAAATATTTTCATATAGAGAATTGTAGGGAAGCATATACAACGGCTATTTTCCCAATACCATCTGTGGAGAAACCAACTTTTTGCTCTAGCGATTTCATCATATTACCTCCAATTGTAAAACGGCCAGCTGGTAGGCCGAGAAAGAGTAGAATACCATCTCGAGGGGAAAAAGTAAGTCAAATCAGGTGTGGCAGATGTGGAAAGATGGGCAGGCACAATTGAAAGTTGTGTAAAGAGCCAATACAGAGTTATATTGGTTGATGTGTTGGTGAATATTGTGAATTTCACATTCAGTTTTGAACATTTACAGTGCTTTTTTTTTTTAGATAAATAAGATACCATTGTGAATGTTACATACATTTGCATTGGATACACATTTTATTAGTTGATACATTGGTATACTTGTTTTGTATTTCGATACAATTTTTGAATAAGAAGGGATTCATTAATTCTATGCAATTTGTCATTTTGTAGTTTTTTTTTTTTCATTTTGTATATTTATGAAATAGTTTTTTTATCAGTTTGATCAAAATAAAATATTATCTTGTTACATATATACACAATATGTGTTGATGGATAGAATATGATATATGTTTTTGAATAGATTTGAGGTGTGGTAGATGTAAAAAGATGGGCAGCTACAATTAAAGTTATGTAAAGATCAAATAATAGAGTTCTATTGGTTCATGTGTTGGATATCGTTGTGAATATTATGTTGAGTTGTGAGTACTTATAGTGTAGAATTTGTTTTAGATAAATAACATAGTGTTGTGAATGTTACATACATTTGCATTAATAAACAATTTAGTAGTTCATGTATGGACATACTTGTTGGTGCAAGCTTCTTAATGTGAATTTTCATATTTTGATACAATTTGTCAATAAAAATGTGATTTGTTCTATGAAATTTGTAATTTTGTAGTTTCTTTACATTTTTATTTTTTATTTTTGAAATAGTTTGTATTGATTTTTTGCAAAATAAAATGTAGAAAAGTTACATATATCTCCAATATGTGTTGATAGGATGAGCGTATGATATCCATATGTAAACTTTCACATTGTGTTGTACTTAATAAACACATATAATGACTAATAATACTCATACACAATGAATAAGACCAAGAAAGAATATTGATATTAAAAGTACATTTCTTGGTAGAGAAAATGTATATAGCTATTCATATCAACATCTTTGTGGAATGATTGTTTACTAACTAACAATACCTAAGTTCACATGTTAGTGACTGGTATATTATATTGTACTTGGACAAAACCTGATGTTAACATTGTATCATTAATACATCAAAAAACAATGGTAGGGTGTGAAAATATGAAGTTTAGTTCTCAGATGCATCCTCATTGGTGTCAACAACAAAACTTGGATGATTTGTTCTTTCAGGATCATTCAGGAATGCTTCAACTAACAGAGCTCTCATAGTAAGCCAAACTTCCTTGTCCAGCACAGGCTTAATTGGTTCATGAAGGGCATGTTGCCTCATTATGTAGCAAAGTGCAACTCCGCAATTAAGACTATAGGAGAAAAAAAAAAGAAGAAAAAATAATCAATATTTTCTTATATTCACATTGGTTGTAGCTACTATGTCAATGAGAATATTAATTGTAAATACTCACGAATTTGGATCTTGTTGAGGACATGCATCAATTGATTGTAATGGCTTGACATAGTCTGACGGTGTTAATGTATCTACCATATCCGATGTGGAAAGCAATTTCCAAATATGTGATTCGATATATGTTTTCTGTGATTGTGAATATGATTAGACGTGTAGAATAGATAATATTTTAACTACGTTGATGTGTAACTCAACATTTACATTTTTTTTTCATATTATTGAATGAAATATTGAAATTACCACTATATTTGCTTGAGTTAGGTGTATGTCTTTAAAACCATCTCTGGGCCTCATTGAATTGTAGTGCTTCTACACTTCATCATTCATGTCGCTCACTACTATGGTCCAATGATACTTAAAGTGGAGTGAAAAGTACAGATATCGGTACTGAATTGCATGCTTGATGTGAGGATCAATGAATTTGGTTTGTGGTTCTGCTTTTTCATCTTTAATCATGCTCTGTAAACATTAACAACACTTTGTGAGTAATGAGTTTTATAAATAAGGGATCAATTTTTTTTTTTAAATTCAGGATAATAAAAAAAAAACAAATTATACCAAACACAAGCTGTTGAAAAAGAATGATTTGTCAAATTGTTGTGAACCTGTCATCATTGATTCCTGTTTTCTTCTTAAAATTTCTGCATATGCATCTATGACCTGTATATATTCAATGTTAATGTGATTATGCTGTGAATGTTAATATATATAACCTTTAATTCACAATGTACAAAGCACCATACATTGTTTGTTATGGACTTGCCTTGAATTATTGACTCAAGATCGTCATAGAAAAATAAGTCTCCTTGGTGGTTCCTCACCAAACAATTAACCTACATTTAGAATTTAGATATAATAAGACAAGGATGGTACGTAAAGACATAGAAGTTGTTTGAAATATGCTTACCCGTAACCTCCATTTTTATGTATATTCCTTATCGTTTGCTTGTCCTATTCAGATATGATCTTCCAAACCTCATATTTGTTGGACAGCCTAAACTTATTATGCTTAGGACCCTTAAAGTCTCGAAGCTTGTGCAAATAGCCTTCAAAATCTGGATCTACAATTTCACATTGCTTCTCAATGTTATTTTGTTCCAAATTTTTCAACTTTCTTTTTTGTTTGTTACCCTTTTTGTCTTGATATTCAAAATTAGGCAACTTCAATTAATTTTTTTTTTTTTATTTTGATGCGCTTCACCAAAGATGTAGGAGTTTTTTGGGTCTTCTTCTTCAAATTTTGCTTTAATTCCACATCCATAGTCTCCTGGTTTGTTTGTTGTGTGACAACATGTACTACATCATCATCAATTTTATCTTCTAGCATAGTTTTCTCAAGTTGGAGTATAGTTCTCTCAATTGGAGGTCAATTATGGAGTTGCTTTTCCTTTCTATCTCTGCATTCTTATTATCAATTGTAAGTTTGACAGAGGACAACTCATTCTGAGCTGTTGGATTCTCCTTCTGGTTACATATTAATGTTTCCAGCTCCAAGATGATTTGTCTTTCATGTCATTTGCTGCCTGTAGATTCTACTTCTTAATTTGTAGTTTCTCAATAAGGTCCAATGCTTTTTGATGGTCAACGACCATTTTCTCTATAGTGTTGTCTTGAGCAACTTTTGACACAATGACTTGATGCACCCCATATGCATGTAGATATGCAAGAGTCTCTACACCTTCCTCAATATTGGCTTCATCATGTTCATTGCTCTGAAATTGTGCTTTATTGCTAAACTCTGTATCAAATGTCTCATCAATGTCATCCTCTTGTATGCTCATGTCCATTTCTTTCTCAATTTTGACTTCATGATGAATAATACTCTCAGGTGCATCTTTTTGATTCTTCTCATCCCGAATTATTTTATGCATCAACAGTGTGCTCTCACAGTCTGTCAGTATGAGTTTCTCTATATAAACCTGGTAATAGAGATTACTATTAATTTAGTACAATAAATAACATTATTCACATTGGATAATGTTGGTATCTAACCTCATCAGCATTGATTAACGAGAAAGATAAATTCTTCACATTTTTGTGAAGTTTTGTTAGATTCCATTTGAGAAATCGAGGTGCTGCATTTTGCAAAATTGGTTCTACTATTTTGGTACGCTCACACAGTCAATACTACATAAAATGTAACAAATTGTCAACTATATGATTGAACATTTTCAATGTAAGATGAAAATTAGACTACAAACATTCACAATGGGAAGACTTACACTTCACATATGAATGTCAAAACAAAACCTTGACAATATGACTCAACATAATCAATTTAACATGGAAAACAAACTCCAAACATTCACAATTTGAAGATTCATACTTCAAACACAAATGTTGGCAATATGACAATTCACTCAATGTAATCATGAAATGTCAAAACAAATTTCAAACACTAACAATGGTGTTTTGAGTCTATTGGAATATCAACAATATGTCTCAACATAATCAATGTAATAATGAAACTAGACTCCAATCATTTATAATGTGAAGATTCACACTTGAAACACAAATGTCATCAATGGAATATCAATAATGAGACTCAACATAATTAATGTAATATGGATAACAAACTCTAAACATTCACAATGAGAAGATTCATACTTCAAACACAAATGTCAACAATGAAATCTTGACAATGTGACCATTCACCCAACATAATCAATGTGATGTGAATATTGGAATATGAAGTATATGATTGAATATTTTCAATGTAAGATGAAAATTAGACTCCAAACATTCATAATGGAAAGACTTATACTTCAAACGTGAATGTCAAACAAAATCTTGACAATGTGACTCAACATAATCAGTTAATATACATGTCGAAAAAAAAGTATGGTTATAAACTAATGTGAATGTATCGTTTCAGACGTACACATTAATAATTATGTGAGTGAATGTAGTATTACATACCATTAAAGCCATAACACAGCCAGTCACTTATTTTGGACGTCGATGATGATGTTCAATGGAATTCATTAATGTGGACTTGATGGTTTCTGCCCAATCATATTCCATCATCTTGTCCAAATGCTCCATGTGTTGATAGTATGTCCATCCAATTGTCTTGTCAGTTGTGGAATAAAGGAGCTTTAAACAAGCATACAAACTTATCAACCTAGCAACCTCCTCATTATCTGATTTCTTTCTCGCAACCAATGCGTCATCGATCAAAGATCGGATATT